AAAAATGTTTAAAATGGGCAGTTTTTCCTGGGGAACAACTGGCTGTTTTCATATGTGTTTATGTTTCCCATGAACACATGGCTAATTTTGAGTGATACTTAAAAATAATAAAAATATTATTTTTATTGAAGTCTTGCTCAGACCTGAATTAAATACCTCAGCTACCACGGGTTAAGCAATAATTCCCACGAATATAGTTACCTCTCTGGGAAACTAAATCACCTGAAAACATCTGACTTTGGGGCTCTGCCTTAAAAAAAGGGTGTTTGGCAAACACCTACTGCTCACATCAGGCACCCGCTGCTCAAATCATAGATTCTTAGATGCCTGCTAAATTGATATTGATTTCTTATGTTCAATTAAAAGCAGGCAGTAAGGAAGTCGAGAGGAAGGCGCTCGTGTTTTATTTTTAAATAAGGCAGAGAGCAACAGAGCTGCTTTCCAGCGTGCCAAGCTGCTCCCAGCAGTCCCAATTCCCCCCATGGCTTGGGACACAAAGTGCCATAGGAGCCTGTGCTCTTAACTCACTTCCTTAGCTCTGCAGACTGCACTTATCAGAAAGATGGGGTTTCCACTATACGGATTTGCCCATGGGGTGAGGGATGTGGGGGACTGTAAACCCTGCAGCCCAGTGCTTGGGTGTGTTTTGATATCCCTCCCTCTTCCATCTCCATCAATTTTGAAGGCAGAGGTCTGGCTTATTGTGCAATTGCTGAATTTGCAGCACACTTTTCCACGTGCTACAGATGGGTTTAGCTGCTGGGGAAAGGATAGGAAAAGGAAAGTGGCGATTGCTGTGCAGAAGAGTAACATTATCTTCATCAGTAAAGATACCAGTGCAAAATGGTGCAAAATAACGTGATTTAGAGATGACGGATGGAGCAGGGGCAGAGCCTGCAAAGTTTGCCACAAAAGCAAGCAAAGCCCTTTCCTGCAAACTGCTGCTTTAAAAAACACCAGTTCTTCCACAGTAAGAAGTAAAAATAAATAAATAAAAAGTGCTTTTTGAAGCCTTCCGACAGCTGCACGGCTTTGCTTCCCCCTTAAGTGCTACTACATTGGCCTGCAGACTCTCATTACAGCTAGTATTAATTAAGGGACTAATCAAGAATGATAAAGATTGAAGAGCTTAAGACCAAAGTGCCTGGAAATCATGCACTAAATAAGTATAAGTATAAATATAAGTAAAAGTATAAGTATAAGTATAAATATAAATGTAAATATAAGTATAAATATAAGTATAAGTATAAATATAAGTATAAGTATAAGTATAAGTATAAGTATAAGTATAAGTATAA